GCCGGAGGAGGGCTGACCTGTCCGCAGAAGGGACTTCCCGCCCCCACAGCTTCCCTCCCTCCGCCCCAGCCGGGAGAATGACATGGCAGCTTGTTGCCTCTTCCTATGTTTACAGCCCAGAAAGCCTTCCGGGCAAACCCAGCCTTCACTTCAAAGGATTGTACCTCGAGATCTTAATGTCCCTCCTCAGCGTCCCCCAAGAAGTTAATGGAAGTTAGTGGGTAGAAAGGTGTGCCACCCCTTCCTGCCTCTTTCCAATTTCCATAAAACTCCAGTACAAAGAAATATTTGGAGTAGAAATTTCTTTGCACAAGTTTGTATTCCGGACCCTCGTGAACACCTGTTTCTTCAGACCGGCTCCATCCAGGTTCTAGGGAAGCTGAACTCTCCATTCTGCAGCCTCTAGATTCAATGACTGCCTCGATGGCTGATAATTTTGTGTTTCATGGAGACTGTAAACTCCACTCAGCTGATGGTTACCACCCCACAAATAATTTCCAAGCTGCAGTTTCCAGAATGCCTCTAGTTAGAAGAGTGTACTATTTTTAGTTTTTAAAGGGAGACCTACTAAGTGTGCCTCTCAGAATCAGTAATGCTGGTGGTGGGCGTGTAATCCCACAGGTGATTAAAGTGCGCAGAACTAAATACACACAAAGGAGGGCATGTGAAATGGGAAATCTGAATAATCTGGGTGAATTGTACCAATGTCAGTATCCTCACTGTGGTTTTGCAGGATGTTGCCATTGGACATGAGGAGCTGGCAATGAGGAGGGGTGAAGGGTGCATGGGACCTCTCTGTATTCTGAAACTGCTTATGAATTTTCTGTAGAAGAATCCTGATCAAAAGGAGGAATATGTGGAAGAGAATTTCAAGTTCTCATGGAATGGAGACTTTGTGATGCTACTAGGACTGAATAAACTCCCAAAACTATTGCCCTGAGATTATCTTTAAACCTTCAAGCAAAAATATGCCCTGGAGTCATCTTAACATCTAAACAATAGTTTAGCTTAACTAGTCAAAAATGTCTGCCTAGAGCATTGTGTTCTCTTAAGAACTATCCATGTGGGATCCAATTGACAAGTTGTTGTTAATGTGCTGTGGAGTCACAAAGACCCCTCCTTGGGTTTCCAAGGAGGTATCTCTACAGAAGTAGATTGACCTATCTTCCTTCAGAGGAGTGGCTGGTGGGTTTGAACCGCCATCCTTCTGGTTAGCAGTCAAGTGCCTTAGGCACTATGCCACCAGAACTGGAAAGATTAGATAGGAACCTTAGGGGGGCAGTGAGTTCATGTTAGTGAAGGAGGAACAACTCAGAAAAGGAGGGTGAGAAGGGTTGCATGACTTGAAGAATGTCATCAGCATCACTGATTGGCACATGTAGAAACTGTTGAAGTGGTATATGTTTTGCTGTGTATATTACAAAAAGTAATGAAAATTTAAAAAATAATAATTCTAAATAAACAGACTGAAAAAGACAAAATGAATGGAAGTGATAAAGGGAAAGATAACAGACCATATAAATGTACCTACTGTGGAGTTTTGGGGGTTTTCCCAGGTCCCTGGGTGGTGTAAGCAGTTTGTACTTGACCTAAAAGTTAGCAGTTCAAACCTACCCATCGGTACCACGAAAAAAGGCGTGGCACAATCTGTTTCTGTTAAGATTATAGCCATAAAAATCCTATAGAGCAGTTCTGTAACTGTCACATGGAATCGCCGGGAGTTGGAAGTTTGCTGTTGTTTTTTCTAGTGTCGTTTTTAGAGTTTGTAGAAGTTTCCTTTTCCCAAAACGGCCCACCTACCCACTTACAAACATGTTAATGTGGATCCCAGCTGAAACTTAGGGTACTAGATTCACTCAAAGGAGCCCTGGGAGCGCAACGATTAAGCACTCAGCTGCGCACCTAAAGGTTGGCGGTTTGAGCACACCAGCAACTCCACGGGAGAAGGACCTGGTGAGCTACTCCCATAGAGATCACATCTAAGAAAACTCTATGAGGCAGTTCTGGTCTGTCACATGGGGTCGCTATGAGCAGGAATGACCGCAAACAACAAGCCATTCACTGAAGCAGATACAATGATTGCATTGTCCCCATAAAGCCAACATTATCGTATGCAGCCCCAGTCTTTAACATCTTGTGTTTGTTGATAAGTCATTGTGAGAGTGCCCATCTGCCACTTGAAAGGGTTATACTTTTATGCCTCCTGGTTCATTTTTAATTTAGATGCAAATTTGCATTCATCCTTAGAAATAGTGCTTTGCTGATTTTTTTTTTTTTTTATCTTCCTTTTAGGCATCCCCCCCCAGCGCATGTCTACATTCAGACATAGCTCGTTTCGTTGCGCTCTGTTTTATTGCTCTTCTCAGATACCGTGTATATATATATATTTTTTCAAATCGAAGGTGTGCCCTGCGTGGAGCAAGTCTGTGGACACCATTTTTCCAACAGCATGTGCTCACTTTGTGTCTCTGTGTCACATTTTGATAATTTTCACAATATCTCAGACTTTTTCATAATGCTATCGCATACTTATTAAACTAGAATATAGTGTCAACATAACTTTATATGCACTGGGAAACAAAAGGATTTCACATCCAAATCACAATGAAAAAAAAAAAAAGGATTTCACATGGCTCACTTTATTGCAATATTCACTTCATCGGGGTCATCTGGAATTAAATCAGTGGTATCTTTGAGGTCTGCCTGTATTCATACGGCTGCTGTATACTGACGTTAATAAAGATGTGAATGTGACTGGATGGGGTATGTGTGGCCTGCGGTGAGTGATGCCCTCCCAAAACCAGCCCCATTGCTGTCTATTTGATCCTGATTGATGAAAACCCCACGCTTGCAGGGTAGAACTATGTTCCATAGAATTTTCAAGCCGGTAACTGTTCAGAAATAGCTCGCCAGGCATGTTTTCCGAGGCATCTCTGGGTGGGCTAGCCTCCCACCTTTGGGTTAGTAGTTAAGGCTTTTGACCGATTTTGCCGCTGACATTCTTGGGATTGTATAGAGTTGAGCGCACCCACCTGTGCTAATCCTGCCTAGACTTCCATATCTTGCTCCTTATCACCAAAAAGTCACTTGTGAAGTCTGTTCATGGCGCTCATGGCCACCCCACGTACTTTAGAATTTCAGTGGCTGTGACCTTTTGGAAATGGATCGCCAGGTCTTGCTTCCAAGATGCCTCAGGGTAGATTCAAACCACCAGCCTCTGGGTTAATAGATGAAGGCTTAACCATTTGTGCCACCTAGGGCCTCCTTGCACTGTCACGCATCTTGTGAAAAATACCAACGCCTTGTGATGGAAAGGCATCACCCCAGTTTATCAGCCTGGGACCCCATTTAGAACAGTTTAGTTGAAGCAGCATGGACTGCTGGTAATGACAGCTTTCCCTCTGAGGACTTACAACTCCGCCAGAATGCCCCGGATTATGAGCATCATCTGTCTGGTTCTTTTGCAGAGCTGGGTGCTCGTCCGTTTGGGTGCCTAGTTGCTCCTTGGACACTCGGCTCCATTGCTTGGAGAAGCCTGAGGGAAGGATGCCCTTGGACCTGCCACGTGCAGCCCACGTGGGCACCTACATCTTGAGGGTTAACAGCCCTAAGTGTCTGTTCAGTTTGTTCTGGTTTCCTTTGATAGAGAAGAAATAGCTGAAATTAAAGTAGCTCTCCTCTCCCTTGGTCAGCATGAAATGAATTAATGAATCAAAGACAAATTAATCAACTTTCAGGGATTTAAGAAAGAGCTGAACCTCTATGAAATAGGACTCAAATTATTTTCATGTTTTGTTCTAACAAGAAAGATTTAGACTCGTTACAAGATGTGGGTGGAGGAAGGACTTCCAGATTTTTACTTTGACCTTTCAAATGAGTGGCTCGGTTAGTAGGGCCAAGCTCTCCAGGAAACATTTAATGCGATAATTTTAAAAAGACAGTCTGACCCATTTCCTCTTTGATCCATGGTAACGCCTGACTCAGTTCCTATCAATTCAGACTGGCGATGGGCCAGTCAACGTCAGGCATCACAGGGTGATGGCAGGTAAAGGAAAAC